AGGAAGGAAGGAAGGAAGGAAGGAAGGAAGGAAGGCTGACCAAAACTCCATCCACACTATTCATCATATTTAAAGTAACAAAAATTGTCTCTTCCTAGCCAATTTCAGGAACAGAATAAAATGCTTTATTCCTTCAAATGGTGTATAATTCATACACAGCTCTCATAAATAGGCCCAAATGGCACTGTACACTTTTTGCTTCCTTTTTAAAACTTTTCTTCTCCATTCACAACTTAAGTTTGATAATGGAGTTTCTTTTTTTTTTTTTTTAAGTACCAAGGATTGAACTCAGGACCATATGCTTGCCAGGCAGGTGCTTATGCCACTAGGCCATCTCCCCAGCCCCATAATGGAGTTCTTCAAGCAGGATGATCCCTGCCCCAGCCACTGAAAGCAGACAAATCTTAACTCAGAACAAAACCTCCGAGGGTCGTGCCATCCTCCACAGCCGCTGCAGAACACGCTCACTCACCCTCCTTGTCCTTGGAGGCTTTTTCAATGTCTTTTTGCAGTCTCAACAATTTTGGTTTTATTAAGGATTTTCGTCTCTCTTTATCCATTGCATTGTTAGGATCTTCTTCCTTTAGGAAAAAAAAAAGATGTTTGATAACGAGAAAAAAGTAAGATTTGCTACTGGGACTTTTACTGACTGCATTTAATTTTAACTTTACAGAAGGAGAAAATTAAGGACCAAAAATGAAGTGAGCTAATCTTTGGTATTACACACATCGTTCTACCTGTTCTAGACTCAATCAATAAGAAAACATCTTCTTCGTAACTGGTAGGCACATGACTCAGCACGCTGTTTAACAGAACAAATTATTCTTGGAGGAGGAGGAAACTTATCATAGTTGTTTTAATTTCTCGACAAGTACATCTATTGGCTGGATCCTCATTGCTCCTGAAAATCATGTAACTGTATTGAATTTAGAGTCCTTCAGGAATCCAACCTAGATTTTTGGGGATTGAACTCAGTTCCTTGCACTTGCCAGACAAGCACTTATTCTACTGAGCTATCTCCCTAGCTTCCTTCAGGAATTCAAATAGAGGACTGCGTGTGTCTCTCAGGCTAAGATGGCCTGAAGAGGTGACTGAGTGTTCCTAAGGCTCAGTGTTGGCTTGGTATTGGAAACTCATGAGCTAAAACACATGCTCTACCCAAGATGGGTTTATAATTCCACCAGGCCTTGCAGCAGAGCATGAAGAGACCAGGCAGCGAAGGCAGCAGATATCTGTGAATGGTGTGGTGGCCAAGGGCAGTGGCAGTGTGAAGCTTTGAGGGGGCTGAAGACTGCAGTAGGATTTTCCAGCCATCAGAGTAAGGGGCTCCACAGCCACTGGTGTGGGAGAAAGGGCGAAAGCAAAGGAGACAGGGAGGGTCCTGGGAGTGCCAGATTTTGGGGATCTAACCCAGAGGCCATGAGGGACCATTACTGAGTTCTGAGTTTTCACACGGATTATTTCAAGGGTTGAATAAAAATCAATTATGTTGGGGTAAGACAGGGAGGGGGCTGACCCTGAAGGGCAGAAACCTGTAGAGCAAAGGCCAGAGGGGGGGAGATTAATGACTTAGAAACAGATGAGGAAAGTTTCTCTGATAAGGAAGGAGAAAAGTAGGATATTAAGTACCAGTGGGAGCATTCGCCTTAGGTAACAGCACAAATCAGGGAAAGTAAGGATGACCAAAGGAAGCAGCCTTTATAAAGATGCAATAAATCAATGAAAATATTGTACTTACATACCGTGCCTTGTATATTCATAAAAGTTTTACTATAATCTTTATTACATGCACTTCCTTAAAACAGTTCAATGAGGCTGATTTTTATTTTCCTTGTCATACAGAGAAATAGAGGAAGGCCCAGGGAAAAAGCAGAAGCATTCACCCCCAAGACACAACTATAATACTTTGAGCCAAGTCCTTACCACCACATCACATGTCTCCCACAGCTGAGGCCCCCACCCCTGACATCATGCCCTTAGGTGGTTCTGCCAGGACACCTAATTAGCACTCAGTCCTTCCTTGTTGGAGCAACGACCTGTCTACCTGGCTCATGTGCCAAAGACTTCACATGGCCTGTTTCGGGACTTTGATTTCTTACACACACACACACTTCCAGGGGCAGACTGGGCCTCCTGGTCTGCCCAAGAATGGGGTGTGTCACCATTGTTTAGCTTTCTTAAGTCTATCCTTTCCCAAGCACTTGTTAGGAAGGAGGGCAGCATCAAAGGAAGCCCATAAAACTGCAGACACAAACTTTTGAGTGGGACATTTACAGTAACCATGTGAACATTTTCACTTTTACAGTAACTACCAGCTCTCTCATTTTTCAACTCAGATTGTTCTTTTTTATTCTGATCCAGGTAAGCTCACAGCACTGGATAAACATCAGTCTATGCGTATGCCAGTGACTGTACAGTCAGACGTTAGAGTACTTGCTTTAAGGATAGCACAACAATTCTTCACTCGTTGTGAGACTGTTGTTTCTCTCATGCTTAGATATGTGGTGGTGAGTTCTGGGGCAATGGCTTCATAGAAATTAAAAATTCCCATGAATATGCCAATTAAAGATGAAGCATTGTAGTTACCTCATATTTTGATGGAACCTAGTTAAATTTCCAAGGGATATGACCTTTAGTCTATGGACAGGTTAGCTGATGTGAGCATTTCTATTTTTCTTAATAAGAAAACAATAGATACGATTTTCTGTACAATTCTCCACCTGAGGGCTCACTCATACTATTTATGAGCAAAGAAAGATGTTTTCCCTCTGTGATCTCTCTCCCTTTCCACTCCTACATTCATCCTTATTTCTGCCCGGAGCAGATTGCTAACTTCCCTGTGGTCCAAGTAGAAAAAAAGAATCCAGGGAATCAGCAGCTGCTTGCAGTTGTTTGGATGGTGGGGAGTGGGAGCTGTCAGGACCCACGATCCTGCCTGCCCCCCATGTCCTGCTTCCTGAGCAAGGATCCAGTATTGTAGGCTTCAGTGGTACATTTAATCCGACAGCATGGTTGGTGGGCGGGGTCCACAGATCAGAGAGGAGAGGGCCACAATCTGAACTTCAAAGTCTGAATAAAATACATCAGAGGGTGTAGGTAAGAGCTGCAGAAATTCTTTGTGTAGATTTGGTGAATACTCATCAGCTCCCAAGGGCAGTGCTTGCCCTAGCATGTGTGAAGCCCCGGGTTTGACCCAACTAGCAAACAAAACAATCAAAAACAAAACTTCGTGGGGCATGGTGATGCACACCTGTAGCCCCAGGTATCAGGAATCTGAGTAGGATCATTTGAACCCAGATATTGGGACAAGAACCTATCTCATACAGTAGAAGGAAGAGGTGAAAAAGGAGGCAGACAAGGAGAGAGGGCGAGGGACAGAGGAGGAAGAAAGGGAGAAGAAGGGGGAAAGGAGGAGAAGGAGAACATCATAATTAAGGGAAGCAGAGGCCAGCACCATCCCAAAAGATGAAGATTGACCCCAAGATAGCAGAAACAAGATACCCGGGCTAGGCAGGCCAGACAGCTCAGTGAATTAAAGCACCTGCTTAGATAGATGCAGGGACTGGTGTTTGATCCCCAGCCTGCTGGCCCCACCCCTGGGGTGCCCTGAGACTGCAATTGAGACTGTGTATGGTGGCACATGCCAATAAACCCGGCATTTGGGAGGCCCGCCTGGGCTATAGGGACAATGATCATTTTTCAGCCAGAAAGGTCATGCAGTAGAATCACTGAATGCCTTCACAACAAGCCCCGGATCATTTGGTCCAAGCATTCTGAGGGAAGAGCCATGAAAAGTCCTGACAGTGCTGTCCACCTCCTAGGCCTCAGCCCTCTGTGCCACCTCCTCCACAAGTGTGAGCCACGCTTCCTGACTTGCTTCTAACTAACAGAACAGGACGAGCTGTCACTTCTGAGGCTAGTTTCCAGTGGACCCTGACCCCTTCATGGGCTCCCTGGCTCTCCTTCTGGGGAACACAGGCTGCCATGGAGGGAGACAGAGTCCCATTGCATCAGGGAAATAGATCTCTCCGTATCCAGCAAACAGTGGAAGCCTACGAGCTTGGCCATGGGTCCACCTGCATGGATTTGGATGTGAATTGTCTACCAGGGGAACCTTAAGATGTCTCTAGTCCAGCTGTGCCTGGGTTCCCAGCGCACATAAACTGTGAGCTCATCAGTGTCAGTTTTGGACCATTAAATTTGGGGGTGATTTGTGTAGACAACCAGTCCAGGCACAATATGATACACAGGCATCATGTATAGACCATGAGACACATCTGCTTGGTATGAGTCTTAGAAAAGATGTTATGCTTAAAAAGTCCTCCAACGATCCTGTGTTGGAAACTTGATCCTGGACTCAGTGGGGTTAGCAGAGGGGGGTTTGAAGAAGTGAGTGGGTCACCTTGGCTCTGCCTAAATGGACTAATGTAATTATCGCGAGAGTACGTTAGTGATAAAAGCCAGTTTGGCTTTCTCTTGCTGTCTCACTCACTTGACACCTTCTGCCATATGTGACAGAATGAAGCCCCAACCAGATAGGGCCCCTGGATCTTGGACTTCCCCGGCTCCAGGACCTTGATCCAAATAAACCCAGGTTCTTTACGAGTTACTCAGTCTTTTGTATTCTGTTACAGCACTATAAGACAGACTAAGTCAAAGGCTGAACAAGAAGATTCTGCCTAAAACCCTTCTTGACTTTCTTCCAGAGAATACCAAAGATATATTTCCACTGCCCAGTTTGTAACCCATATACCATATAATTATTTATAACAACCATGAGAAAAAAAGTCAATATTTTCATTTACAGAACAAAATTTACTTGATAGTTACTTTCAGTTTTTTCTCAATATACCAAGGTCCCGCCCCCTTCGGGTAACTTCCTGCTGTGTCCTACTTACGAAGTAATCGGTTAACAGGAACTCAGATTTGTTGTCTGCCGATAACATTGCAGTTTCCTCCATGAGAGTCTGGACGTCTTTTTCGGCATCCACCTTGCTGATGGCGCAGTGGATCTGTGTGTGGCACTGCAGGGCAGGGAGAGCAGCACAGTGTTGAGGAAGGATTGCTTTCTGCCCAGCCTCACCACGCACACCCGAACTAGAGAGATCTTCAGACTCACCGTGGTCAGGGTTTGGCCAAAGAGAGAAATGTGCTGGCTGTACTGATTTAAATTGTTGCATAGAAGCTGAATTCTTTCCTTCTCCAGCTCCAGGATGCTCTGAAGAGGATGAACATGAGACAAGATCAACCGTTTGCTCTGTAGAACTGAGGCCACCTGTCAAGCTCCTGGAGGGAGGCGGAGCTCACTGTCAGGACTGTCTTTTCACTGTGTCACGGTGGAGGGAGGTTGCAGGAGCAAAATGTGACCCCATTATCTTCCTTTAAAATGAACTGAGCTCCGAAACTTAATCCAGGGTCTTTAGACCCCAGAGCCATTTACACAGACGCTGTGGGCTTCCTGGTGTTTACAAAGAAGGAGAGAAAAGAACACATTTAAGAAGTGTCTGTGATTCCTGGAAGAGAAGACTGAGGCCCAGAAAAACTCGTGCGCACATGTTGGCAATGCACTTAGACACCAGCGACATTCAGAATCCCTCGCGGTACAGGTGCATGTTGGCCTATGTCTCTCAGTGCAGGAGCCTGTAAGTGACACGTGCATCACTTGCCTCAGGAGGCTGTTTGGCAGGAGCAGAATCCCAAAGCCCTATCATTTTGTAATCCTGGACTAAAATTAGGGCAAGGGTCAGGGTCCACTTTTTGTTTATTTTGCTATTATGGAACTGGGGACAAAATTCAGGGCTTGCACACCTTAGGCAAGTGTGCCGCCTCTGAGCTACATCCCCAGCCCCCGGCCCGCTGTTCTGAAAGTTGGATGGCTATGTGGGGAGACAATTCCATACTGGCTTTTCATGACCTTGAGGAGGAAGGGCAAATGAAGAAATGGAGGCACCACACTAGCCTCGTTGAAGTTAACGTTTTAGAAACAGCTAGATATTAGAGTCCTGCTGCTCTAGCTGCTGACTACGGCTGGGGGGAGGGAGGCAGAAGTCTGATGGGTGTGCAGAGTAGGTCCCTAGGCCACAGGGGCAGTGTGAGGCTGCTGGGAGCAGGGTTGCACCTGGAAGACAGAGCTTTGACAGAGACGGTGGGTGTCCAGGACAAAATTCTCTCCGTCCTGTTTTTATAAGAACAATTTATCCTTCCATCTGGGGTAGCCAGGTGGGGTGCTTTTGCAGCTGCCATCCCACCTCCTTGGTCCCACAAAACAAAACAGGGCTGTGTCTCAAGATCGTTGGGAAGGAGGGGACTGGGGAGAGCCACAGGAGATCCCAGCTATCCTGCCAGCCACCTGGGGCACTGCTGCAGCTCCCACCATCTGCCTGCTCCGGGATGCTAGCCCACTGCCTCCTGATAAATGATGGTAAAATTCACATAATGCAAAGCAGGTCATTTTAACTTTTCTTTTTTTTTTTTTTTTTTTGAGACAGGGTCTCACTTGTAGTTCAGGCTAGCCTCGAACTCACTATGTAGCCCACACTCGTCTTGAACTCATAGTGATCATCCTGCCTCAGCCTCCTAAGTGCTTGGATTAAGGTGCATACGCCACCACTGGCTTCATTTTAACCCTTTTGAGTATATACCTCAGTGTCTGCATAATTAGCATTGTCGTACAGCCACCAACAGCGCCCATCTCCAGGACTTCTTTCATCTTATAAAACTGATGCGCTACCCATGAAATCGTAACTGGCCATTTCCACTCTCTCTTGGGCCCCAGAAATCATCATTTTCTTTTCTGTCTCAATAAATTCTACTATTATAGGTATTTCAAATAAGAGGAATCATCAAATATGTTTTCTTTATGTCTGGATTATTTTCGCCTAGCATGTTTTCAAAATTCATTCATGCTGCGGCACACGCCAGAGTGTTCTTCCCATTTCAGGCTACATAATGATCCCTGCGTATGCTGTGTCCTGTCGTCAGTGTAAAGCTGTTGAAACGCCTTTGAAATGCAAGCAGTGAAAGGCACAGGTGGTAACTGAGCACTTAGCCAATCCTATGCGAATGGAGAGGTGGAGCCCAGGGGCCCGACCTTTGGATTGGAAGCCTGGAGCTGTGCCCCATGGCCACCTTCTTAGACACATCAGAAGCTGTACAATGTTTTCCTTTAGGGTACTTGGAGTCAAACTCAGGACCTTGTGCTTGCCAGGCAGGTGCTGCGCTGCTGAGCCTATCCCCGGACCCCCAGAAGCTGCACAATTTTTATGCCAGCAGGAGACAAATGCCTTTGTTTCTGTTGGCAGTCTCTTGAGTCTCAAAATCACAGGCAGCAGCCCTTTGAATATGACCATTTGCCCTTCTGTTTCTCAGATAAAATATGAAAGACATAGGAGAACAGCCTGTCCAACACATTGCTTTTTCAAAGGGCAGAATCAAAATGCCTCATGATAAATATCTGAGACAAATTCTACTAATTTGTTTGGATCTCAAATGGGTCACTTTTCCAAAAAAGAAAAAAAAAAGTCCTTATGCTACATATAAAGATCTAGAAAGCAGTTGTTCCAGCTTACCATTAGGAGCAAAAGACAGGGAAGAAAAAAAAGCCAGGTTTTAGAACACATTGGGTCCCTGGGGGCAGCAGTTCCTGTACTTCGGCAAGTGCCCGGAGCATCAGTCTGAGACTAAAATAACCAACGTCCCTTGGTAGAGACAGTAATGTTTAACAGATTTGAACTACATTTTGGGGAAATCATTAAAATGATCTATGTTTGCTCATGAAAGGAGTTGGAAATAAATTCCACTGTGGGAAGGGGAGATCCATATCTCATTAAATGAATTATTGCTTTCTATTATCCTTCTCTTCTTGAATAAGATGAGCAATAGAGGGATTAGACTCGGGAGGACCTCAAACTGTCCTCTTGTGTTTTCATAGTGGCAGGTAGAGGGAAAATCTGGTCAGACTGAGACCACAAGAGACAGTGGGTTTAGAGCTCTCCTGGAACACACGCGCCGCGATAATCCATAACAGTCTTCATTATTTATCCAGTCCCTGCTGGTCCGGGTTCAGGTCTGGACTACAAAAAGACCTTGGTAGAACTGTGTTTTCCTTTAAATTGCTTTCATAAGACTGATTTTTTTTTTTTAAAAAAAGTACCATGATCTTTCTAAACTAGAGGTTCTTGAAGTCCTGAATGACCAGAAGTCACCTGGATCCCTTTCCTACAGTCAGAGATTCTGGTTCAATGGGGCTGGGGAGGTGTGAAGGAATATGTATTTTAAGCAGTACAGCCAGTACCTTGAAAATTGTCCCAGGGTCACAAAAGGCCACAAATAAATGCATTCTAAAAGCTTCATCATTCTTCCACCCAGAGAGGTCCACTATCAATGTTCTGATGTCTTTTGGACTATTGAGTGTATGTGTTTTTTATCTTCTTTTTTTTTTTTAAATCTTCTTATTATCTATCAAATTATTCAAATTTGGAATTCAATTTTTTTCTGCTTATGTCATGCCTGAACAATTTTCCATGCTATTAGTTTCTGAAAATACCTTCTTAATCACTTCGTAGCAGTCAGTTGTGCAGACAATCTAGTCACTCTTTTCTGTTAGCCATTTGAGTTGTTTTTCCCCTTTTAATTTTAATGTATTTTTAGCAGAAATCTGAGTATTGATTTCATTTACTCCCTCAAAACATATTTGCAGAAAGGAAATTACTTTTTGTGAAACGTGGGTCCTAGGAGAGAATTTGGCACCGATGGTCTTTTTTTTTGGAACCGGAGATTGAACTCAGGCCCTTGCACTTGCCAGGCAAGCGCTTATTCTACTGAGCCATCTCCCCAGCCCCTGGCACCAGTGTTCTAAGGCAGCAGTGGGGAAGCTTGTGGGGCTTTAAATGGTAACAAATGGTGGCTGCTCGTGGCACGTGTGCCATGTGTTCGCCACCACCGTCCTAAGGCATCTAATATGTGTACAAGCTGTGATTTAAAAACTACAGTGAAGGGGCTGGTGAGATGGCTCAGTGGTCTAAAGCACCTACTTAGAACAAGCTTAGCAACACACAGGGACTGCGGTTCAATCCCCCAGCACCACATGCCAGCCAGCCCCGCCCCCTGGTGGGCTGAGCTGGCCATACACACACACACACACACACACACACACATAAATAAATAAATAAAATTAAAAAAAATGTTAAAAAAAAAACTACAGTGAATATTTACATTTTAAAAATTGCCTATAGTAAATGACATGCTGCCAATTAGGTGCCTTTTAAATATTCCCCCTGACTTCAAACACACTTATCCCATTGTGCTTCTTGCTTTCTGAAGCAGTTCTGGAAGTCTTTCTTGCGTGTCTTGAGTTGAGCTGTGTGTGCGGCTGCCTCTAAGTCCTGATTGACTACCATGTTTCCCTTTCATGGTCATTCTGACTTTGGAGATGAGCCAGAAATCACGTGGTACCAGATCCAGTGAGTAAGGTGGGTGAGACACACTGTAATGCTGTGATTTGACAGAAATTGTTGTCCATGTTTTGGATCAATTTAGGACATTAAGGTAACCACAAAAAAATTCATAAAAGATTTCCAGAACTGCTTCAAAAAAAAAATCATAAAAAGATGGGAGAACTGTGATGAAAGTATGGGGAAGTATTATGAGGAAAATTAATGGCGATGTGTCTTTTATTGTAATAATTCAACTTTTAATTAAATACTAATTGTATATTTTAATCAGACTTCATGTACTCATGTGAGCCTGATGATTTTCCAGTCAATGCCAACCTCTATGCAGTGGTCCCAGAAGATCAGAGTGGAACAAGAAATCTCCTGTGACCTGCTGGAACTGTGGTCATCATAACATTGTCACACAATACGGAACACTCCACACCTGCGATGCTGGTGTCAACCAGCCTATTTCATTGCCCACTGTGTAAGAGGATATCATATGCCATTGTGTACGTGGACTATGTTGGTGTATTTATTAAGCCACGCTTTTATCACTGCCTTAGAAGGTACAACTTCTATGTATAAAAAAATTACCCTGAAACAGTATGCCCTGCTAACCAGCCACAGCCTTGCCACCTCATGTTTACTTGTTTAACTGCACCAGGGGGCCCCTCTGACTAAGTGACCTACGCCATCTAGGTATCTATTGATATTTGGATAATGAAATGGTCCTTTGACCATTCATTATCAGGATGAAGTTACCTAAGTAGAAATATAAATTCTACTTCGGTAAATTCCCAGGATGAAGCCCCCTTGTTTAGGGACACACAACCGTAAGGAGTCGTCACCTGTCCGCACTGAAGTGGCCAAGCACCATCCTTGCTAGAGCTGCCGGAACAGCCGCTCTGATCATGTCCTTGTTCTCTTGTTCAGATTAGAAACACAATAGTTGAGAAGAGGAACTGTTTTTTGTTTGTTTTTGACACAAGGTCTTAACAATGCATTTTAGGCTGGCCTTAAATTTACTATGTATCCCAGACTGGCCTCAAATTTGTGGAGATCTCCTGCCTCAGCCTCCCAAGTACTGGGATTACAGGTATGCACTAACACATCCAGTGAAAAAAGGAACATTTTTAAAGCTTTCAGTGAACATTAGAAATGGTTGTATAAAATAATTCCTTGAATAAGTATTATCAATACCAAGCATTTGATTCTTGGAAATTCTTGCAAGTGCAGCTATTATTTTTTAAGGTACATTATAGAATACACCTATCAAGTGAACTGCTTCTTCTTGGAAAAGAGGAATATACTATGACCATGAAGTGAGGAGGATAATTTTGACTTGTGGTTTGCGTGGTTGGTTTCATCATTTAATAACCACACTTCAGACTTTGTAATATTTCTCAATACCTAGGAAACTGTCTTGAGCATAGTTCAGTGAGTTTTCTCTGAAGGAACTTGTAAATACAACTTACAGAGTAAGAAGAGATGAAAAGACACTTTATGATAAATTCTGTGTGTGTGTGTGTGTGTATGTGTGTGTGTGTGTGTGTGTGTGTGTGTGTTACTGAAGATCAAATCCTTGTCCAATTACCAGTGAGCTACACTCCCCCACCCACCTTAAATATGTTTTTAAATGTATTTAGGACAGGATCTACAGGGTCTCACCATGTAGATTGGACTTGTAGTGATTCTTCTGTTTTCAGCCTCCCAAGTGCTGGGATTAAAGGTGCGTGCCACCACGCCCAGTCTCAATCGCCATCTCAGCATGCCCTGGGGATAAGGCCAGCACGGCACACTGGTGATCAAACCTGGGCTGCTGCGCTCTGCCTAAGCAGGCTCACCTTAATTTTGAGACAATGTCTTGTTCAATTGCCTAGGCTGGTCTTGAATTTGGAATCCTCTTGCTTTCTTCCCCTGAACAGCTGGGATTATGTTCGGCACCAACACGCTAGGCTAAAATGAATTTTATATTCAATTTTTAAAGAAGGATGGTGACAGTATGGACAAAAAAATGAAATTGAAAGTCCCCAGTTATTCCATTCCACTTATACTGAAGTGAATTCAGTCTGATTATGTATTTTGGTGAATTTATATTTCTACTTAGGTAACTTTACAGGAGTTTAGAACAAACAGAGTAGTACGTGAGGGAATGATTTATTGGACTGAATACATGTAGGCTCAAGGAGCAGGGGTGTTGTTATTGGGAGTGAGTGTGCAGCAAGGATGACTTCACAGAGGTTGGGTCCAATAGGCCAGGCCAGGCACTCAGGAGGTGGAAGAGAGCATACAGGTAGGCGGGGTCCACAGGGCTGCATGGGCCAAACAGAAGAGGGGTAAGATACTGCCATCCCCCAGCACAGTAGTAGCAAAGATCCTGGACACAGAGGAATGAAAGAAAGCCTTACTTTCCCTCAAGGAGATGGGTTTTGAATGACAGTGCATGAAATTTGCCTTCTAATAAAACAATAAAAGCAACAAACAAGCTGGAGTCCAAAGGAGGTCTTTTGAAATGTCAGTGAATGTGCATCTTGTCACCAACAGGATGGTTTTGTAAGGAAAGGTAATTTCCATGATGCTATGGTATAAAATGAGGACTAATGAAAGAGGGGAGGAAGAAAGGAGCAGGAGGATCCTAACCCGAGATAGGGAAACTGACACGAAGAGGGGAGTGACCTTGAAACAGCCCCTGTTAATGCCCCTAGCACCAGCAATGCTGAACCATGCCAAAGGCCAGTCGTTCATTAGCTCCATTCTGGAAGCAGCAGCATTGTGGCCTGCTGCTGTGGCACAGGGAGGAGGCTGAGGAAGGAGGAGTTGTTGAGCTCATGGTCTGCTCAGAGTTCTTGAAGGCATCCTGCAGGATGGAGTGGCAGCCAGATCTTCTCTTCCATCTCCTAATGGAGCCATCTGGAGAAGCCAGCCACTCGGCAAAGCTACAGCTTCATTAGGAAATTCTAAGACGGTGGTGGCAAACCTGTGTCATGGCTGCCACAGCTGTTCGTCATCATTGAAAGCTCTAAAAGCTTCATTAGGATCACTACGAGTCCGATCTGTGTAGTGAAATCCTGTAGACCCCTTAGACCCTGTCCTAAATACATTAAAAAAAAAAAAAAAAAAAAAAAGGGGGCCGGCCTGATAGCTCATCAGACTAAAGCATCTGCTTAGGCAGAGCGCAGTGGCTAGGGTTAAATCCCAGGCATGGTGTGCCAGCCCAGCCCCTGGGGCACGCTGGGATGGAGACTGAGACTGGGCATGGTGGCACGTGCCTGTAATCCCAGGTCTTGGGAGGCTGAACACAGAAGGAGTACTATGATCCGATCTGTGTAGTGAGACTCTGTACACCCCATAGACCCTGTCCTAAATACATTAAATAAATAATAAAAAAATAAAAGCTTCACTATCACTGTCTCAGGAGGTAAGGCAAGGTCAAGCCCGGGTTGGAGAGCCAGATTTTAAATGGATGAAGTTGGAATTTAAATCCCTGGCCTTTCCTTATTCACATTATCTAAAATCTACTCAGCAAAAGCCAGGAGGGAACAAGATCCTATGCCCCATGGTAAAAGTGAAAGAGGGGTTTCTTTTCATTTTTTCTCTCTCTTTGACTTAAATTTTCCATCTCTTTTGTTTTCTTCTTTCTTCTGTAATTCTGCATCTATCCTGTCTCAATGTGAATGAACTGCAGGAGATTTAAAACCAGCCTTTCAATTTCCGCTTACCTCGAGCCTTCCTACAATCCATTCTTCTGGGGGAAACACCCAGTGTAGAAGCCTAGGTTGAATTCCAGAACCCCTTTGGGCCAGTGACTTCAGCTTACTAGTCTCAAATGTCTCTATCAGGAATACAGTGTGCATTTATTTATTTATTTATTTATTTATTTATTTAGTGGTACTGGGGATTGAACCTAGGACCTTGTGCTTGCCAGGCAGGTGCTTATGCTGCTGAGCTATGTCCCTAGCCCTCTATCAGGAATAGAGTTGCTGTCTTTGGGCATGTGACTGCACTGAGTGTCACCCCTGGCCACATCAACCACTGGGGTACTTTCTTTTCGAATTGTAGCAGATTGAAACTTTTTTTTTTTAACTTGAAAGAAAACAAAAATATTCAGTATCTTATCAACAAGAATTGATGATTACTCCATTTGGTCATATTTATGTTGACTTGAAAATGGAGAGCTAAGCTATTTGAGTATAGCTGGGAGGTGTTTTGGTCCTGGGTTGGTTGTGTGCTTTCGCCAGGGATGAGCACAGGCTGTGTGGCTGTGACAGTCCTGCTCTATTCCCTCTGTGAGCTACACACGCACACACACACACACACACACACACACACACACACACACAGTGAGATCTAGCCAATAGCTACACTTTACAAATCATACATACAATCAACATAGTTTTAGTGTAAATTAAAATTTTTAAAGTTTACATAGACTCCCAAGTAGCTGAGATCACAGACACACACTCCACACCCAACTTCTTGAATCATTACTGAAACATAGGTGCTAATGGTCTCCTGAAAGGGGGGCTACTGTGTTGTGGGTCCATGTCCACTTCAGTTTTACTAGATACCATGAAATTATTCCCTGTAGAGGGGCACAAGTATTCTTGTCTTCTGTCCCTGCCAAACCTTCCTATCATGCCCTCCAAATTTGGTCAAATGACTAAGCCATCATTTCATTTGTTTAAGGGATCTTGACTTCCCCTTTATGACTTGCTTCTTCTTGTTGGATGCTTTGCCCCAATTCATTCTTTCTGAGTTTGTCAGTATTACTAAAACACATGTTTGAAGTGTGGAGATGGTACTTCATTCATTGCTGTAAATCTCCAGTGGCCAGCTCAATGGCTGGCATGCAAAGGTGCTCTGTAAGTGGGGTCACCATGGGAGCCAGCGCTCAGCTGGTACTCCATTTGGGCACCTAATAGCTAAGACTTAAGTAACCCTTTACTCTGATGACACTTTTGCAATCAGCTAAGTGCTATTGAGTCCACTGAGAATTAGAAACAGACACTCTGGCAAACGATACTCAATGCATTTTCATTAGTAACTGTATCCATGGAGAAGTGAAAATGAGAGGAATTGTGGTTTGCAGAGAATCACTGTGAGACTGAGGATCTTCACTAAGACAGAAAATAGGCATCATAATTACAGGTCACACCTTCATCAGCAAGGTCAGGTAAAGCTCCACAAGAGAAACAAATGAGAACATGAGATTTACCTTGTAACAGTTTTCTAGTGTGTTTTCCCATTTCAGTCTGGTTGAATAGCCTGCCATGTTCTTTTGGTAGTAATTTTCATCTTCCTTTTCCAACTTTTCTGTCGATTTTTTCAGTTTATTGAAGAGCTAAAGTAAAAACATCACTATCACTGTCATAGTCATTAACATATTTAAAAAAGTCCTTCGCAATTCCACAGAAAGAAGTACATATGGCCCAGTGATACAAAACTCTATATAAAGAGTTAATTATATATGACAAGACCAAAGAGCTTTTTCTATTTCAGAAATGAAGGGAGACAGAGCCACAAGGAGACTTAAGGTCCTTTCAATACAATACCCTTCATTTTACACATGAAGAAATTGACTGCCTATATAATAATTTGTCTAGGAGACAAAAGGAAATCAAAAAGGCAAAATGACATTGCATTGAAAAATTGAAAATACAAATTGAGTATTTCGAACCTAACATTATAGTCAACCATTAAATTCTAGTCTTCTGTGGCAACACTTAAGGTTCTTCCATTTCTTATGAAGACAGGCAGAGACATGTGACATTCCTGGCCACTTTCCTCTCTGGCCATTATAGAACAAACATTACAGCTTTAGAGTCAGACTTCTTGGGTTGAGCCCTGGTTCTGGCTGCAGATGTCACCTACACCTCATGAGCCACAGTTTCTTGATTTCCCTGTTGGGGCTGGTGACTGCTCCATGTCCCTGGGCTGCTTTGAAGACCCAGGTAGCTAATGCAGCTAAGGCGCATGTCGGCTACACTGTCGGCACCTTGAGCGGCAACTGAAGATTGACAAGTACAATCATCACCAGAGAACAGTTTGCAATGCATGCCCACTGTTCACTGCAAGGGGCAGTGTGACAGGTGACTTCCCCTTGTCCTGCTCCTGGAGTCCCCTTTTAGTGGTCACCAGTATCTGCCACATCAAAATATTACAAAAGTTCCCAGACCACACTAGGTGAAACCAATGATTAAAATGCCCAGGCAAGAAATTTCATGTGTCTGAGAATTGAGTTAAGTTACTATTAAGAATGATTTTAAAGCTTTCCTGTGCCTAGGTTTGATTTGGGGGAGGGAGGGGCTGGTAAAATTCCAAATTTGGAACCCCACCAGTAGTAATACTAATTCATTAACTCTGTAATGAGATTAGCAAATCTGAACTTTCATTCCCTCTTCAGAGTTGGCCATGCAAATGGTGCTCAAATCACACCTTAAGGAATAGCAATACCACCTCTCGTTTTAGCAGCTTAGCAGCTTCAAGGACAGAGACAATGACTTTTAAAAGTAATATTCTTTATGTTTAAGGAGATTTTGAGCAACACCACAATAATGAAGAACATTCACCCCAGGGGCTGAATATCAGTACCACCAGTTGATATGCCGGGCTGGCTATCTAACTGCACCGCCACTCAGATGGGTGACCGACCCAGAGCACATTAGTTTTATATTTCAAGTGTGATGACCCACATCAATCTGCAGGACTACGACCTATGAATTTTGGTTTGATAATGACATAGTGAAAGGGCTGAAGGAATGCTACACTGTACTTGCTAAACATTGTCTTAAATTCTTAGGTGAGGGCTTGGACTCCAGCAGGGAGCACTGACTTGCTTTGGGGATCATGCCTCGTGTTCACTGGCCTGTGCCACGGCACTACCGACCACACGTTTTTACGTGGGAAGCATACTAGAAATAGCCCCATGTGGACATAAAAATTATTTTTATTTTAAAAATTTCCTTTACTAGAATTTATTGATATTGATGTTTTCTTTTTTCTTTCTCTTGGAAGGAATCTCTTATTCACCAGACATTTATTGAGTGACTGCAGTACATCATGGGCAAGGACTTGGGGGATAGAAAAGACAACAAATTAGGTTTCTTCTCTAATTAGGCACACAGGTCATTGCTAAGTTGTGATGGGCCCCAGGGACCCTGGATGGCAGACGTGCTTAGCTGTCACTGGAACACCAAGAGAGGCAACTAAACTCGTCTCAGAATGAAAATAACATTTAAACTGTTACTTCACATACAGTAGATGGGGAAAGAAAGAAAAAGATCCTTGTGTCAATAAACCTAAAGTATGAACTGGTGTGGCAAACTCTCAAGACATGATGCAAAACACTGGTGAGGTTGGAACAGAGAGAGAGAGTGAGAGAGAGAGAAAGAAAGAGGAGGGAGAGAGGAGAGAAGAGAGATGCTGCTCGAGTTCCAGGCAGAGGTCAAGTCAAGAGAGCTTAAGTGCACATAAGAAAAGGTGCCCTATAGTCTAGGTCACTGGAAAGCCTCTGAAGGCTTTTAATTGGAGAATGATAAGGCCAGATTCAAGCATCAGGAATGCCAACTTTGCTGGTACCTGGGGATTATCAGGAAGAGGCTCACCGAAGGCAGACTCTGATTTGTTGCAGTCATCCAGACAAATACTGACAGTGTCGCCAAGAACAGCAGTGGCAGGGAGACAGGTAGAAGTAAAGAAATTCAAAAAAATGTTGTTTTTAAGGATTATAATTGGTAGGACATAGCAGATGATAATAGACAAGGAGCTAGGAAACACAGGGCTAGCAAGTATTTTTGGTAGAGACAAGTGGTGAGTCTGATTGTGGAGGTGTGGGAGGCAGTTTGGAGAGTAGTAAGGGTGGGAGATTGGTTTTGGGCATTGTTCACATAGATATGGTAGCTGGAGCCTTATGAGTAGATTTACCAACTACCTGACATTGATGGTATTAGATTGAATGTGGAAACACAGTGGTGAATTAAACAGAGATGGCCGAGGTGAAGTCCTTAGGAAAAGCAATATAAAATGTCCATGAGAAAAAGGGAGTCCATAAAGGAGTCTAAGATAAAATTTTCAGAGAGGCAGGCAGAAAATCAGAGAGGCAGAGACAGACAGACAGACAGACAGACAGACAGACAGACACACACACACACACACACACACACACACACACAGAGACAGAGACAGAGAAAAACAAAGAAACAGAGAGACAGAAACAGAGAAAGTGACACAGACATAGAGACAGACAGAGAGAGACAGAGTGTGTGTGTGATACTGTTACAGTTAAAAAGAAGAAAATGGTTAGGGCAGTTTGAGGCATGAATAGGAGCTGAGAAAGTGAAGACAGCAATCAAGCTTTCCAAAAACTCTTATTGCAAACAGGAGAGAGGATGGTGGCGGACCAGGAAGAGGGCAGTGACAGGATGGCGGTGACTCTGCCAGTTCTCCTAAGATGTGGGTGCAGAAGCTTGAGTATCTGTGTGCTCCACAAGTCATAGGCTGACATTCAAACACCCAAGGTGATGGGAGATGGGGCCTGTGGGAGGGCGGGGTGCTACCAGGAGAGCCTTCACGGGCATGATTGTTGCTCCCAGAAAAGAGTCCCAGAGCTCGCCCTTGCCTTCCTCCTGCCATGGGAGGACATAACTGAGGACTGCAGCCTGCAGCCTGGTAGGCGGCCCTCCCTGGAACCCAACCATGCTGACTTCTGTCTGCTCTGTCGGGCAGGCAGCAGGCTGGTGTGCTGGGAGAGGGTGACGAGGAGGAGAGAAGGCCATGAAGGCTGAGGTCAGCGTCTGGTGGGAACCAGGACGCTGAGCAGGAACTCGGAGGAATCGCTACGGCACAGCAGAGAGGCGTGGGCTGCGGACGCGGCTCTGTGTGGGTGAGGAAGGAACGCTGTCAGCTTCGCAACTAAAACAACAGCTACGGAGCAGTGGAGATGAGAGGGGTCCCTGACATACAACCAGGCAACAATCGTGCTTGGGGGACACTGCAGGAGAGCAGAGGAGGCCTGTGGACTTCCACCACTCAGGCAAGCTTTTAATGAGGGAAGGAAGAGGAAATCTGCGTTCAGCAGGGCAAGCTCTTCCTTTGCGATTGCCTGGCAGTAATAAAGAACAACTTCTAATGAGGGCTCGAGCAGGTCTGGGTGCCTTTGACACTCCTTGGGGGCAGATTACTGTTCAGTACTTGCTATGAGCCTTTCAAACTGTGAAGAGTGACATGGGAAGAATTAGGAAGCTTGTAAAATCTTGCTAGCAATGACTTTGAGTTGTTCAAGGCATAGCTTCTATGGATGGAATGATGAAGCCGCAGGCAGTGAGCATGTTCTTTTAGAGAACACCGGGGACCACAGTGATGCTGACTGCCTTGCCTTTCCAGCTTTTGGAGAAGGTGTTGAGTATTTCGTAGTTTCTTATACGGGACATAAATCCCAAGAGATGTATGAGATAGCCTATTGGGATATAGGTAGGAGGTATTTGAGTTTATTCCTATACCTCAATGTTATGGGTGTTGATGTTTGCCTAAGAACAATTTTGAATCTTACTCTTATTTAAGATCAAGGGGACACATGCCAGCGACATAGCTCAGTGGCACAAGCACTTGCCTGGCAAGCGCAAGGTCATGAGTTTGATTCCTGGTAATATCAAGAGGACACTATTGTGCACATGAAGCTTTGGACAAATGCCTGGATCAGGATTTACAGAGGAACCATCTAGCTTTAATAGAGCTAATATTCATAGAATGCACACATCTTAGAACCATTTCTGCCACGAACCCCTAAACTGAGTTTGCTGATAATCATGTCAACATAAACTAAACATCAGAGCGGATTCTTTCTCCTGATCCTGGTTATAAGCAAACATCACCCATGGGAAAAAGCAGTAGTAGACTGGCCTAATGAGACATGACATGACAATAAGGAAGACATTTGGGGAGGGAGGCATCTGGAATCAAACTGAGGACCTTGGGCTTGCCAGGCAGGTACTGCGCTGCTGAGCTATGTATATATATATTAGCACAGGTATGCATATATAGTTTTCATTTATTTGGAATGGAATGTGAACTGAGATTTTTTTTTTCTATTCATGGAGTTCTGTAACAAAAAATAAACTTGAACACCTCGGCCCCTGTCAATCACGCCTTTTAAAAGTATGTGTGGACCCAGAGCAACCTGGAATCCCTCTCATCAGCCTGCCCACCGCTCTGCAGAGCACCCACCCAAGCGGGGCGCCACCAGCTCTCAGGTCCCTGGGTGAGGGCATGCAGCACCCGGTCTCCCTGCCACATGTTCCCTGCACAGGGCAGCTTACTTTCTGCTTTTCCTTCTCGCTCATGGATTGCTTGGAGCTTTCTATAAGATGGAAGAGGGCTTCATGCTTCTTGGTACTCACCATTAATTTCTTCTTAGCCTAGAGTCAAAACATACAAATGGGGAAAAATAGGAGCAGAAACTAATTATCAAGAGAAAAACCCTTCTCTTCTGGAACAAGGTATGTTTTCATGCTAGCTTAAATGATCTTATTATTTTACTTCCCTGTTCCTGCACTCACCTCAAAATCTGCCTAAAATACCACAGTAGTGAACACTTTACGGGAGGACCACTGTGTGATTTTACCATTGCACTGTACACTCATAGGTCTTTGCTAGAGCACGGAGGGCCTGCAGGCCTCCACACCATTGTTCCCCAGAGCATCGTGGAACACTGAAGTCTGCCTGCACCTCTTTTAAATCATACTGGCCACAGTTGAGGTTGCTTTAAAAATATCCCCAAAAGTTCAGCCCCGTGGGCGCCTCCCTCTCTGATGCCCCAGCTTGAGAGCTGGGGCTGCCTGGGCAAGGCCCTGTCCTCACTGGGGTGTGGGCCGTGAGTGAAGAGTTGGGCAAGGAGGAAGCTCTCTGTGTTTGCTCGCCTCCAAGCACCCAGAGGATCGCGTCTTAGTCTACGCGCTTGGATTTGGCTGAGAGATGATGCTACAGAGATAAAGTATGCAGAAAGATTCAGCTGACTTGGATTCAGCCTATTCGGAAATTTGGTTGCTTGAGGCTGGCTTTTCCCTCAAGACTGCCAGCACCGTGAGGCTGGGTAGCAGAGTGGGAAAGCTTCTCCTTTCCTTGGGAAACAGAGGCAAAGGCTTCAGTTTCTCTCAGAATACTTGAAGACTCTAGGATCGAGCATCCCACAGCTCTCTTTGTCTGCCCTCAGTCAGTCACATGCCTACGGATAAATCAGCCAGAGAAGCAAGGGTCCTTGGGCCTTTAAGGCTTTGCATTGATGTCTCCAAAATAGACTGTTTCATTATCGATGCGCTCAAGCCCTTGGATTGTAACTGGCAAGAGCATTATTATAGCTAAAGAATTTTTATGTTCTCTAATTTCTCTGTCACTCTTCACAAAAAACAAAATCATTTTACTTAGAATAATGACTTGGTAGAAACTGGAAATAATTTTAAAAATGGGTTTTGTTGATGCTGTTCTTGGAAGCAATTGTAGCTTGTGAACATTGTTCCTGGCTTTTGGTTCATTGTATTGAATTTCCTGTGAATGCTGAGTCTTGAAAGAAAATTGGTTTTTACAAACAATCCTTTTAAAGAAAGCTCAGAAAATCAGGAGCAAAGGTCAAAGAAAAAAAATGACTTGATATTTTTCTGAGGCTTTTAAATATTTATTACAAATGTTCAAATAAGAAAGTATTTATTATAAAAATGATTCTCATGAAATTCATTTTGCCAGTCCAATATTGAGTGTAGAAGTTCATGGCCTCAAACATCTCTTATGATGCCCTTGGCCTAAGTAGTTCTTGGTTTCATCGGAAGTTTCTGAGTCACCTGGACAGATATCTGAGGGCGTCTGTAGTTGAAGACTACTCACTTGCAAAGCTTCTCTTCAGATACTAACTCTTCAGAGACAAAAAAGGAAAATTTCAACTCTTAGGGTGTAAGTCCTGTCCAAGGGGATCACTGAGTTTTTAAAGCAGATTTCCTAGCCTCTTATCCTTCCTACTTGAAATGAATTTCTCTAATACCAGATTATTCTAAAATAATCTTCCATATAAATGGGTTCCATCTGCTATTTTTGCTGCTTAAGAGCCTCTAAAAGTATGCTCCAGCATCTCACTCCAGGACTTCACTCCTCTCCTTGGACTTTACTCACCCTTTCCTACACATATGTTACCTCGGTGGCTAAATTTTAAAGTACTTAAAAGTGAGGATCATGTCTTAGCATGGTATTTGCAGAGAAGGTGGACCATGCATACTTTTGGAGTCAAGATCTGCCCTTCTCTGGACCTTGTCCCCCCTACACACACACACACACACACACACACACACACACACACACAGCGCTCTCACTAGAGAGTGAGGTCAGCATCACTAATGCTGTTCTATGCATGAGAAGCCAGAACTCAGGTCTGTTTGCTGCTGGCTGTAATTTCCAATCATCCAGAGAGGCAGGACAGCATGATGGAAAAGATCCAGTCCAAGAAGTTCTAAGAACTCTTGGTTGAAACACTAACCGGCTTTCTCCTCCTGGGAAAATTGCTTATACTATTGGTGTCTCAGGTGCCCCCTCTACAAAATGGGACAATACAGGATCATGCATCACACTAGGTTCTTGTAAAGATTCAATATATAAATATAGAGAGAGCTTGACCAATTTTGTATGCCTATACCGTGTAATCTGAGCAACTACTTTGAAGATAGCAACATACAATATAATAATCATTGTTAACTTCCTCTCTTGTTTTAAAATCCTGTATTTATTTTTTTCTCTCTTTAAATTATATAGAACTTGACAACAATATGCAATGTATTAATTATTGTAACTGTCCTACTAACTTGTTTTGAAACTGTCTCATTGCTATTTCTTTCTCAATAAAATTAATATAAATAAATAAATAAATGATATAGAGCTTGGCACATAATATATGCTATATAAGTGTTAGCCACTAATAATAGCTACATTTTCAACTATGCTTTCCATTGGCTTAGTTAAAAGATATATCTATGTTATCATTCAGATATGGAAACATTTTTCTCTGCAATTGGCACTGAGGAGTGTTAACCCTAAAGCCAATAATCATGTCTGGGCAAAAGTGAAAAGCTTCAGTCCTAAAACCTGAGTTTATATGAATGATATTTGTGAATACTTGCCTTAATTTGCTGACTCCAGTTGCTCATAACAAGACTTGCTGTCTTTTCAACTTCATTATCAAGCTATTACAGACAAACATGGAAAAATGTCATTCTCTCTTCTTGTTTATTCATTACAACAGACTAAATATTTGATCCTCTAAATTCATAGAAGGGAGTATATTCCCTCAAGGTGCTGCCATGTGGACATGGAGACATAGGGAGTGATTAGGTCATGGGTGTGGAGCCCTCACCCATGGATTTGCACCTTATAAAAGAGGTCCTGTGGGCTCCCCTGCATCTTCTACCATTTGGGGACTGGCGAGAAGATGGCTGCCCACGCCACCGGAAGAGAGCCCCCTCCAGACACTGATGGTACCTAGATCTTGGACATCCCAGCCTCCAGAGTGATGAGAAATCAATTGCTGTATTTCCAAGTCACTCAGCTTATGCTATTCTATTATAGCCACCTAAACTGACTAAGATAATTGTGGTATTGATTCTTTAATTTTGGTGTAGTCACTCTCACTGTCTACCACAGCTTGAAAATCCTACAGTAGACATTTCCTGAGGAAAGTAGCCAAGCTCTCTTATCTCCGTGTCAAGTGTCTCTTGACAGGATTTGTCAAAAATAATGATTTCTAACCCATGAGAATATAAAAGGCACATACACCTGCACAACCATGTGGACACCCTCACATAGGCTATGTTACTGTTGGTGCCATAGCACCCCCATCAACATCAATTCATGTGGCAAAAAACACCCACACCAGGAGCGCTGATGAACCATCCTTGAAGTGCTCATTTTACATGGTTTCTTTGCCTGCAGCATAGCTGTTTCAATTCCAGTGAGATTGGCTTCTTAATCACAATTAACTCTCTTCTAAAGGAATGTTAATAATAATGATAGAAGTGGATCTAGGCAACCATTGGGAAGATCAGCTATCAGTTAGAGCAGAACCTTTCTCTTGTTCCATAGATTCAGTAGATCAGCCATTATTCAGCTTTCCTGAGATCCAGCAAACAGAATTTTTTGGGTTTCCCACGTTGGTTAAATGAGGACACAGTGTATTATAAATAATGCAGTAAGAATAATTTCATGCACTATGCCAGTTTTAACTCGATGAATGGGCCTGGAATCTAAAGCAAATATACTTTCAAAAATAAAACTTAAATAGCATACTATTCAACCTTTGGAAGAGGGAATTTTGCCAACCCAGACTGATCTATCCTGCAAAACTATCTTTCAAATACAATGGAGAAGTGAAATATTTCCATGATTAAGAACAACTAAAGAATTTCATGATGACAAAGCCAAGCCTACACAGACTACTAA